ATAATGCAAAAGCATGGTTTGATGCTTGTGTGTTTTTGTTTCAAGTTCTTTTCAAGAACTCATCAATAATTCATGAGCTATAAGTCCAATGAGCATCAAACTGTCACATGATGGGCCTATAAATCCCGATAAATTAATCCAATTCTATGTGAAGATATTATACTCTGACCATGTTTTTCCTTGTAAAGAATGAACTTTCTTTTAAATTTTAGAGAAAATGATTTTTGTTTCTATTTTCTATGTACAAACTTGTATTCCTTGCAGTCAAAACGTGTAATAAGTACAGTTGAACTCCGTTATAATAACCGGTTCTTAAGTCTTGTAAATTATGAACTTTTCAATTTTAGAGAAATGTTACTTGCTTTTATTTTTTTCTATGTACAATCTTGTCTTCCTTCAATGTTATTTTTTAAGGAGTTGATATAACTCTGTCAAGGGAGTTAAATTTACTCCGACCAATGGAATACCTTTTAAAGGGAGTTAAATTTACTCCGTATTGACAGTAAAGTATCCCTAACTCCACCAGGGGTATTTTAACTCCACTATGGATGAATTTAACTAATATGTGGACTTATATTTACTCCTAAAAAGGAGTCATCCTGTACCTTTTACTTAACTCCACTTTTGGAGATAAATCAACTCTCATAAATAACCCCAATGTTGTGTCAAAACGTGCAGTTAGTGCGCTTTCCATTTTCAGAACTGGCTGGCCAGACCCAGAGAAAATGCTATTATATACCATTCGCATTTAGTTAGCAAATTCAAATTTTCAAATTCTATCCATTATTCTACAGAAAACCTCGAAATGACTGAAAAATGTTGACAAAAAGCATTATGTACCTCTAAATAGAGAGGACTGGCCGGCCAGTTCTGTCAAGATGGAAAGCACCCTTAGTACAGTTTTAATATCTTATAATTAAGGGCCCTTAAGCCTTAGTATTGTGACAGGTGCACAAAGTACACTGCGCCATATCTGACAAATTAATCTGCTTTTAGCTGTATATCTCCAATATAAATATGCAGGAGGAGCTGTACTGAGACTTTTTTCCTGGAAAAGTGATTTTGAGCTACATTGTTGACTAAATCTCACAAGCAAATGTGGCGCCCTTCCTTCTATAAAATAATTTTATAACATTTTATGGTCAAAACGGCTTATAATTTTATAGTTAGGAACTTTTTATTTTCCAGGAAAAAATCTTAGAAAGGATTCCCTTACCTGAAGAGTTATTTTTTCCTGAATTTCTCACTGGCAACCAGTTGTGACTTACAGCTGGCTGGGACAGAAGATCGAACAGATATATTTCTCTAAGGAACCCATTGGCTCCTCCTGAATATGTAGAAATATTAAGCTTTGTTAAGAAAGGCAAACATCGTTGCCAGAAAAAATTCACAGCTCATATACAATTTTTGCACATGCAGTGACGAAGCATCTCCATAATTGAGTTTTCGAAATAAGCGAGTAAGCAAGGCAGTGAGTTATGGTACGAGAGATAGCAAAGCACCTGCGAGACGTGAAGAAAAATTGAATAACTGAGAATCGATATGGACATAAGTATTTTTTTTTTCAAAATCTGTACTAAACAAATTTGTTTATTTACATGAAACAAAATGTTCATCAATTTTTGTGCATTCGAAAACAAAACATTTTTCAATTAGATTTTTTATATAATATGTAAAATATGGATGGAAGACCTTTATGGCCATTCAGTTTTAAAGCCCATAAGAATYGGACGCAAATCATCTGGAAATCAGGACAAATCTCTTGATAATATAAAGAGGCGGTTACTGCAATGAATTTTCATTTTGGAATAACATTTAACGGACTTTTAACACAAGAAGCAGTTCTTGGGCTAGAGTATCTTGACTGGCATTACATGTAACTATTATTAATAATTGATGACTACTACAATTGTAGTTTAGGCCCATTGTTTCATGTCCACCCGCCAAGTGGACAATCGGCATTAAATATTTTAACACATTCGATACACCTAATAATAATTACACATTTCTTCCCAAGAAAACTTTTAATCATGCAAATGAGAGCGAGCGATTAGTTTCCTTAAGAGAAAAAACATTACATAAAACACTGCAGTTTTTTAGAGTATTTAGAATAAAAAAATGGACGTGAGTTTTGACCTTTTTTTGCACATTTCTGGTATGCTAGTTGGACTAATTTGTGTCATTGGAAATGCCTTGGTGTGTCATATCATCGTTCGACTTAAATCCATGAAGACGTCCATGAATTACATCATACTAAACCTTGCTATACTAGATGCCATGACTGGTTTCTTTGGAATATTCTTTGTCATCGCAAACGATAACAGAGGTGTTCTTGGTCCACCAGTTCTCCAACTGGCATACAATCAGAGTAAAACACTAGCTGACSACCTTTGTAAGCTCAGGTGTGCATATTGGTTCGGTGGAGCTGTTTCTCCTCTATTACTAACCGTAATGGCGTTCGAAAGATATAAAGCTATTATTCATCCCCTTTCTTCCCTAGGAGGAGGCACAAAAGCAAGGCTAAAATGGATTTTGCTTCTTTCGTGGATCTCAGGGTTTGGAGTYTATATTATTGATATGATAATCGCTCAGTATAACATCAAGTATGTCATTTGTGATTACAAAGATTATCCATGGTTCAACCGCAAGATCTACTTTATTGTGTTTGCCATTGGGATGTACATCATTCCCTGCATTGCTATGATTACTTTCTATAGTCGTGCAATTCTTGCTTTAAGAAGACATGACCAAGTACTTTCAAGTCAAATTGAGGGTCGTAGRGTCAGAAATAACGCTCGAAAAAGGGTCTTAAAAGCAGCCATCTTGGTAACTTGTATATTTTATATTTTGTGTGGACTACCTTACACTCTTAATGGTCTGGATGAATTGCTTGGGATTTTTTCAGCATCGAGTAAAGATTTGTTCTTTGAAGCTGCCACTTTATCTACAACTTTAAACTCCGCAATCAATCCGTTCGTATATTTTTTCTTCATCAAGTCATTTCGCGATGGCTTTCATCGTGTTTTCATCTGTCCAAGAGAGCGAATGTGTTCAGCATTCACTGCAATATCTTTATCACGGCGTTCCAATAGCTTCGAACGTACTGATACTATTACTGAAAGTTCTGTTAATCAACCAGCACTTGTTGCAGTGAAAGCAAACGAAGAGACGTTAGAATTTAATGTCGGATTCCATTGCAATAATGGATACCGGTGCGACGGCCTTAGAAAAATATCCACTTCATCATCTTAAACCAAACATTTTYTGATTGAAAGAGGTTTCTTCTTGTTCAGGAYAGCCAGRACTATTACCACAAATATAACGCCTCAAAACATAATCACAAGATAGTGATTAAATATGGGAAATACATCCTGCAATTACAAATGCCGCCTTAAAATCGCTATGTCTCATTGCTGCCGTGGTGACAAAGTTTTCCGGCCAGCGATCAACTTCAAAAATATCGCGTTTGACTTCGCCGGCGATTAAAACTCCTTAGTGCAGGAGCGTATTGACAACCACCTGTTTTTACACTAAACATTGCCATAATTCGCTGCATGGGGCTCGTTTTCTTAAGGTTACCCCGGACACTACCAGGGGGTGTTTAAAAAAAATCATATCTCGCGCGATTTAATAGGAAACCCGCAAAATGTATACATTTTCTGAATGACAAAATGACAAAGAATCCATATCTGGACGTATTTTTTGATAAAATTTATTATAATAAAAGACGTCAGGGACTTGACGAGAACACAGTGTCTCTGCGCAAGAGATTCGTTTGCAGTAAGACTAGGCCCTGTTTTATCGCATTCCTCACAAAACGGCTTATATCTCGCCACAGAAAACTTAAAAAAACAAACGTAGACATACTTTAAAACTACAGTAATGTCTGAATGGGCATGCAAAATTTAGAGGAAATTAGTCAAATAAGTTCTGCAAACGAACCGTTTGAATTTTAGTATTTTGTCGAAATCTACTTTTACGAAACATGAAGTTGAAGTTTAATGGGATTAAAGGATTAGGGATCAAGTGGCGACAAGCGTACTCGTTCGGTAGCCAATAAGCATAAAGGAAGAAATACGATATGTAAGAACGGTAGGAGAGCATATTCAGCGAACGTGACCTTGTTGTTTGGCCTTGTTCGCGGACTGTGCAGCGAATTGTAATATTCACTAAGTTTTCGCAAAATGGTCAATCCCAAAGGCCTTGGGAAAGGAAATTTTCAAGTATATTGTGGAATAACTATCRCTTGGCTCTTTATATCGCTTGATGTGAAGTTTGTGATGTTATGTRACAAAATATCCCGTCGTGCTTTGATAACGTGACTATTCATTCGTCAATACTTCCGATGACAGCCACAGTCAGCAGTAAAACACCTTTCGGAGAGACCTCAAAACGTATTTTTGTTTATAACTAGTGTAGAAAAAAAATATATCCGCATAAACTTTTGTCAAAGTTGTAGATACACTTCTTTTAATTCTCTCAGACTAATCTAAAATTTTTGACGAAAATAGTGTCAGGGGTAACCTTAAAGTTGAATATCTTTTAAAGAAATTGGCAAGATGCAAATGCCAGTTAAATACAATTTTTATTACTATGGAGAGATTTGCTTTATTATGAAAAAGTCATGTAGAGTTTTCCAATCAAGATGTATAAAAGTATTCCAATAGAAACTTTGATCCAAATTGGATGGAAGAATGTCACAGACAACACTCCTTATTCTCCAAACTTCCGTAATGACCGTTGGCGTTATTTGTATCATAGGAAATGTCTTGGTTTGTCACATCATCGTTAGACTTAAATCCATGAAGACGTCCATGAAWTACATTATACTAAACCTCGCCATACTTGACGCCATGACTGGTTTCTTTGGAATATTTTTAGTTATCACAAGCGATAGCAATGGCGTTCTTGGTCCACCAGTACTCCAACAGGCATACAATCACAGTAAAACATTAACTGAAGTGCTTTGTAAAGTCAGTTGTGCATATTGGTTCGGTGGAGCTGTTTCTCCTCTATTACTAACCGCAATGGCGTTCGAAAGGTATAAAGCTATCGTCTATCCTCTTTCAACACTTGGAGCTGGAGGCACAAAAGCAAGACTTAAATGGATTTTCCTTTTYTCGTGGCTCTCAGGGTTTGGATTCTATAATATTGACATGATWACCGCTCAATATAACAGCAAATATGTCATTTGTGGTTACAGAGATTACTCATGGTTCARCCGCAAGATCTACTTTATGGTGTATGCCATTGGGATGTACATTATTCCTYGCATTGCTATGATTATTTTCTATAGTCGTGCAATTCTTGCTTTAAGAAGGCCTGATCAAGTACTTTCAAGTCAAATTGAGGGTCGGCGAGCCAGAAATAACGCTCGAAAAAGAGTCTTAAAAGCAGCCATGTTAGTGACTTGTATATTTTATATTTTGTGTGGACTACCTTACACTCTTATTGGTCTGGATGAATTGCTTGGATTTTTTTCATTTCAGATGAGGAATGATTTGTTGTATGGAACTGCTACTYTGTTTGTAACTTTAAGCTCTGCAATTAATCCTTTCGTATATTTCATCTTGATCAAGTCATTTCGCGATAGTTTTCATCGTGTTTTCAACTGTCAGAGAGAGCGAATGCGTTGAAAATTCAGTGAGATCTTTGTCATAGCGWTCAGAGTTAGCATCGAAYGTATTGTTATTAGTGAAAGTTCAATAATTGGAAACATCCACAACTTGCCGCAGTGCAACCTAAAAACTAGACTGGTTAGTACTTGAATCAGGATTCCATAAACCTATTAAATGCATAACATTGCATTGGCCATAGAAAAATAACTCCTTCATCCTTTTAAACGAAACTTTATTTTTGATTGAAAAAGGTTTCCTTTTATTCAGGTCAGCCAGGAGATTATTAAAAATAGACCAGCTCAAAACATTCACAATATAAAGACCAAATATATGAAAAACACACTGCAATCACAAACGYCGCCCTTAAATCGCTATGTTTAAATGCTACCGTGGTGACAAAGTTTTCTGGCTAACTGATCAAAATCGAAGATATCAGATATTGACTTTTGACTCCGC